GTAAAATTGTAAATGCGTGCATAGTGTTCACTTCCATAAAGTCAAATGCCATCTCATAAAGTCTAGTTGAATCCTGTCAACCATGGTGACACAGAATCAGTACCTGGGAGCATTAAAATTAATTTGCTTCATTTATATTACTGCAGTGATAGCAAGATGAAAAGAGTCCCATATTTAAATTTTACTTTAAAAGGGAAACTCTTTCTAGTAAGTTTGTTTGGGTTTTTAAATGATTACTTTTTTTCCTAATTAGCGAATATAGTAGAAATGGAGTGATGGTCTTCACAATGACTTTATGATGGAGTTGGGAAAAATACAAACTCGTTCACTCACCACACTCCCCTTGAGCCTCTACCAAGTGCTAGGAGATGAAGAGGAAGCAGTCGTGACCCTCAGAAGCGTATCGCTTGCTAAGGGAGACCCACAAGAAGCAGGTAGCCAAGGGAGGCTGAAATGCCCGAGGGGTGGTAAGCACGGGGCAGAAAGGACCCAAGACCAGCCTGGGCACTTCATGGAGAAGGCAACCTAGGTACTGAGGGCCAACGATACAGAGGAGTTGAACAGGTCAAGGATGGGGTGGCAGGCGGTCCAGGCAGAAGGAGCTCAGGTGCCTGGTACATGAGCAAGGATGGAGGAGGAGCCTCAACGTGCCTGCTGTGGCTGGAGTGAAGAGGTTGAAGAGTAGAGGATTTAGCAGGAAAAAGCAAAATTCAGAGGCCAGGTCACGAAGTCCTCTTATGCCACACTTAGGGGTCTCTCCCATGTGGTGTGCTTCTATGTGATTTGACATGATCAGATTTGCACTTTTGAATGTTCACTCTGGTCACAGAGTGGAAAATGGATTGACAGGACAAGCCTGGAGGTAGAGAGACCGATTCGGAGACCGTGTGGGAAGATCACCGGAAGTAAAGTGATGGGGATGGAGGTGTGAAAAGAGGTGACAAGGACGGAAGTGTCTCCCATGTGCCCAGTAAGTCACTAAATGCAGGATTATGTCATATACTGCTTTCTGGCATGCCTAGTCCTTCCACAGAGAGATTGATCAATTATATAACTGCTAAGTGAATGAGTGAGTGATCAAGTTAATTATCAAATGAATGAGTGAAGAGGACAAAAGAGGGTGCATTACATTGGCTTCTGGAATAAGAGGTACAGCTGATTGTCTCTGATTTTCCTCGAAGAGCCAATTTTGCCAAATTCATGGTCAGCTAACAGAAATCACAGTATGGTGAGCTCAGTGACTGTTAGCAGGTTCCCAAGCTCTGTCTACTGAGTTTTCAGTTGTCATCCGGACAGTGCTGGACAACAGCAAAGAAGCCTTAAAACAGAGACAGGAAACTCACCGCCTCTGAGTGATCGCCACCATAGCACATGAAACTTACCACCTCTGAGTGATGCCACCATAACATGGAACCCTGGAACATGGGAAGGCTAACTCTTACTCTGCTTATCGCAGCCTCTCTTTGTACCCTGACCTTGGAGAGAATGAAAATGTGCCATGTGGAAGCTCTGCTGGGACTATGGGGAGGGGAAGTAGGAAAGAAGCTGAAAGAAAGCAGGAAGAAAGAAAGCTAAACAGAAGATCTAGACGCAGCTCAAATAATTACAAAGATGGTTCAATGATTGAAAAGTAAGGTAGGGCGGGCGCAGTGGCTCACTCCTATAATCCCAGCAAGTTGGGAGGCCGAGGTGAGAGGATTGCCTGAATCTATGGGTTCGAGACCAGCCTGGGCAACTTGGTGAGACCTCATTTCTACAATAAAATCAAAAAATTAGCCAGATGTAGTGGTGCATGCCTGTAGTCGCAGCTACTTGAAAGACTGAGGTAGAAGGATCACCTAAGTCCAGCAGGTCAAGACTGCAGTGGCCGTGAGCGTGCCACTGCACTCCAGCTTGGGCAACAGAGTGATACTCCAACACACACACACACACACACACACACACACACACACACACACACACAAAAGAAAAGTAAGGTAGACTTTAAGTCCAAGGGAAAGTAAAGTTTCCCAAAACAGATAACGTGACTTGAGTCACTGAAATGCGCCACCCCTTGCCAAGTGATTGACTTGTGAGTCCACCATGTGAAAGTGACAGAGAGAGGACACGTGAAAGGGGCTTGGGCCTTAACCTCTGGGAACTGAGGTTTTTTTGTCCTCCGATATATTATTTTTAATCCTCTTTTAACATTAGTCACTCGGAGAGGGGTTAGTGATAGGAAATTTGCTTAATGACCAGCAAGAAGATACTACAGGGACCAATTCCCAGGTAATTGGACAGATACCTGCAGCAGCTCCAAGTCATCGTGAGTTTCTTCACTTTTCAAGTAAGGAGAATGACTGTCACACAAGGCGGAGAAGGGCCACCAGGGTCTGTCAGAAAAGCAGAAGCCACCCTTTCAATATCAGGAGTTGATGAAATCGTGTTGGAAAACTGGAACTGGAAAAGGAGACAGTGAGGCAACATGGGAGTAATGACTGCAGGAAGTGGCTGGAGTTGGAGTCAAAGGGAAGAAGTTGGGGTTCTCAGAAACTGAAAGCCCCTACCCCAGGGAAGATGCTGTCGCTGGCAGGAAGCCCAGGCACCAGGGAGAAATTCCTCCTCCCTCTCTAGCCTTCCTCTAGTGTCCTGATTGGCCGAACCTTGCAGGGAGCAGCTGACCAGGACTACCAATGTTTATTACAACTGGACATTAGGGTCCAAAGAAGGTGGGGAGTCATTTATCTACCAGAAGCTTCTTGAAGGTCAGGATGTGGCTGTCTTTGAACCCTTGGCTCCCTTGCCACTATTGAGGCAGCCCCTTTTTCACCCATGTGAAATTACAGAGACATCCTTGGTGTGGGGAGCAGGGAGTCTGATGAAGTCTGCTGTCCCTGCAAGTGCTTCTGGCAGGCTCCATGGGGAATGAAACACAAAAGGATGCCTGGACTCAAAAGCTTTTTGCACACCAGGCCCTCTTCTGCCTCACTGCAGCTGCAGTGCCCATGGCATCTTGAACTGACCCAATCCGATCCAGAGAGTGGGAAATTCAGGCTGCCTGCATTGCAATGTAGAGTTGACCATGGGGGAAGTTTCCTGACCACGAGGTGCTTTGGTTTTCTCATCAGCAACATGGTGAATATGATTCTTTTTCCCTGACCTCACAAGGTTGTCATGGGGTGCGGGACAGTTTCGAGGGAAAGGCTTTCGGCAGAGGGCGATGTGGAGGAAGCACAGGGCACATACTAATGGCAATGATCGATGATCGTTACCATGGCCACCTCTAGATACTGCTGTATGGCATTCCAGTGAATTTCTGATGTTGCTTGCATTTAATATCTTGCATGTTTTGCAATCCATTTTTTGTTTACTTATTGTAGCAGCAGCACCTGGGACTGTCTCTGGCTTCCCTTCTGAGCCCTCTTAAGCTGAAGAATGACACAGGCCAGATTCTTTGCCAAGAAGGGATCACTCAGGTGATTTAGCCCAGCAGTCCTGATCCTCGAATTTGGGGTCAGAAAATCCTGCTCTGATCATTTTTAGGGACAAAATCTCTTCACATTTCTGTCTCCTGCTCTCTTTCCTCATTTTTATTCTGCCCCCACCCCCAATTTCTTAGCATCATCGCTTTGGGCCAAGGAAAGATCAACCTTTCTTGGAAAGGTTGAGAAATCATCATAATAACTTTCCAAAACTATAGAATTGGATGCTGCTTCTCCACAATAAATGGATTTTTAAAGTTTGTTATTAAGAAAAAGAAATTGATTTGTAAAGGTCATTGTTTGAAAGCTTATCCTTTTGTTTTTCGTATTAGTATGAAGACAGAAACTGCACAATCTCCGCATGTACTTTGGAAGCTCTAAGAAAGACTTTATGTGTGGGAAGGGTTAAGTGTTTTCAGTTTATGGCCATGATTTGCGAGGCTGTGAAAAAGAAAGCAGCCATGAAGTACATTTTTGCATAAAGGTCTGAAATTTATTGGAGGGTAAAAATAATTGAAAAAGCCAAGCCTTCCTTGTTGTGTTATAATAAAAAGTTATTTATGCACCATCATTGTACATGTTTAGGAGCTTGGGTCCTTTTCAAAGGCCATTCTCAGAGAAGCAAGAAGGAAGCCAGGCTATCAGCTATTCCGTTGAAAAAGCTGATACATTCACATAGCAACTCTAAAGACCATGGCCATGTTAAAACAATTGGGGGTAACAGTTAAACTGCTAGTATCTGAGTTTTGTTAGTTACAGAACTTTGAAAGGTTTGCTCTGTAGGCAACTGCTTACAAAACATGCACACCCTGCCTTTGGTTCAACAGTAGACTCACGAAGCAGTATTCACTTATTTGAGTTCCATTAAGACATCTACTGTGGAGTTTAAACACTCAGCCCTAATTTTGCAATTCACTGCTATACACAAAATTATATGAGCCTTGCTTGATGATTGTAAAGCACTTTGCAATCCTTGGCCAAAAGGAAAAGTGCAGTGTTCAAGGGAACGTATTAATGTTCAGTTCACTAAAGTAGCCTCCTACTTTTAGCAGTGTATACCATACGTTATCTCACCATATTCACTCAACTCTCAAAAGCAAACTTTGAAGCCTTGAACTGGAATCAGCCTTGAACTGGTCCCTAAAGACCAACAGACTGTCTCACTTCTAAACAAGAAGAGATCGGTTTGTTAACCTCTCCCTTACCAATTTTTTTTCAGCCTTCTTAAGGCAACACCATGACATGCAATCTTCTCTCCTTTTTGACAGGCTGCTGATTTGCAGTGAGAGACACCGGTACCCTCGAGTACCAACCACCTTTCACTTTAACCTGTTCTAGTTAGAGGTAGAACTTTAGGTAGTGAAAGGAAGATGGAAAGACTTGGTGACTCACTTGAGCCCTTCCCATGTTAGTTCTGTGAATACACGTGGGAAAATATGGTAATAACCTATACCAAACTTCTGATTTTAATGGAGTGGATCTTTAATTAGACGACAGATGGAATTTGCCTCTAGGTTTTCTGTCTTCTCTGTCCATCAGGAATTCCGATGCTGAAGATAGTGTTTGCGGGCCATGAGCATCTCTCCTTAATATCCGTGCCCTTACTTATGTACCACCCAGCTCAGATTCTTCTGGGAAGTGTGTTGGTGCCAACAATCAAGTCTTGGATGGTGTCACGGCAGAAGGTGAGACTCCAGAAAGATCTTATTTGGATCTAAACTAGATTGAAATGTTCCTAAATCTGAACTGTTCATACATGTTAGCTTTTGCTAGCATATTCTTATTCTCAAATATATATTTTCTTCATTAAATACAATAATAGCCAGGCTCGGTGGCTCAGCCTGTAATCCCGCGCCTTTGGGAGGCTGGGGTGAGTGGATTGCATGAGCCCGCAGGTTCGAGACCCGCCTGGGCAGCGAGACCTCATCTCTACAATAAATCAAAAAAATCAGCCGGGCGTGGTAGTGTGCACCTGTAATTCCGGCTACTCGGAAGGCTGAGGCGGAAGGATCGCCGGAGCCCAGCAGATTGAGGCTGCGGTGGCTGGGAGCGGCCACTGCACTCCAGTCTGGGTGACAGAGTGAGACTCCAACTCAAAAAAAAAAAAAACAATAATAGTGGTCAAATTGATCATTTCAATTTGAGCAAGAGGGCCCAGGGTTAAATATTTTAAATTGTTATAAAAGATGATTATATTTAAAATACAGTTTCAACAAGCTCTTTTTTGCCAGGCACAGTAGCTCGCCCCTGTAATCCCAGCACTCTGGGAGGCCAAGGCGAGAGGACCATTTGAGCCCAGGAGTTCAAGACCAGCCTGGGAAACGTAGAGAGACAGCCATCTCTACCCAAAAAAATAAAAATAAGAAGCCAAGCATGGTGATTTATGCCTGTCAACCCAGCACTTTGGGAGCCTGAGGCAGGAGGATCCCATGAACCCAGGAGTACGAGACCAGTCTGGGCAACATAGCGAGACCTTGTCTCTACAAAAAAATCAAAAACATTAGCCACATGTGGTGGTGCACGCTTGTAGTCCCAGCTACTTGGGAGACTGAGGCAGGCGTATCATTTGAGCCCAGGAGGTTGAGGCTGTGGCAAGCCGTGATTGTGCCACTGCACTCCAGCCTGGGTGAGACTTCGACTCAATGAACATGCAAATAAAAAGCTCTTTTTAGCTCACTCATATCAAAGTACATATTGCATGGGGTGAAGGTTCAGTAAATATATTCAAAGTATATACCTCCTCCACTCTGGTACATGCCATCTTCACCCCACTTTCATGTGTGTCCTGATTTCTAAATATGCCTGTGCCTTTCTAAATATAATAGAATCTTGTTTATAATCCTATTTCATTTAATTTTAAATTTAATTTAAATTAGATCCTATTTAGTATCCAGAATGCCTGCTTTATTTTTAACTTTCTAGACACATAATAACTTCTTTGTGCAGCAAAACTATATTTGGGCATTAAAAAATAAAATATAAGCAGGAAAGGCGCCCACTCAGTGTTAATTTCACTATACATCGAATCTTGTTACATCTCAGATATTTGTAGATTTGATTATTTCCTAAATTACCAACCAAAATAAGTAAACCAGGTGATTCACAAGAGGTTTAGATAATGCATATGACATGACATGGTGGCACCAACAAAGCTGGCTCTTTCCTAGTGACTTGGACCTATCAGGGCTTGTTTTTGTCTGTCCAAGAGTCAGTGACTATCATCAGGAGATATGTGGGAAGAACAGGCACCCGAAAACAAAGTGTCCTGTGTCATGACCTCAGTGTCCTGAAACTGGAATGGCCACAGGACCACCTATTGAGCTCTGTGTGTGCTAAGCACACCCCGTCCTCTCCCTGGTTGGGAGGCTGGATCTTGAGTCAGCTTTTCTGGGTCAGAGCTCAGGCCCCCAGCTCTACCACATGCTCACTGTGTGTCCTGGGGCAGGCGTACTTTACCTCTCTGTTCCTCTGGTACTGTGAGACTAGTGATAATGTCTACATGCCAGAGCTATAGAGGGGTGTGGTGGGCTTATGACAAAGCTAGCTGCTGGAATTATTGTTATTGTCATTGTCTGCAGTGATGTCCATTGCAGACTTTGCTCTCCCATTTTACAGGTTAGAAAAAGGCCTCAGAGGATTGAGCAGCCCAAGGCCATGTGGAGAGTTCATTCAGCACTGGAGTTAGGACTTCAACACTGGTCAATTTGGCCCCAAAAGATTTTCCTAGCACCAAGATGACACTCCAGACAGCAACGTAACATCACTTTTAGAAGCTTACTCTCAGCCCCCAAGATCTCACCTGAGAAGTTCATCCAACATGTGTTCACATAAAACAGATTCCTGTTTTATCCTGGGATCATTCCAGGCTCTTAGCCTCCTCCTCGAAGTTCCTTTCATTCATTCTTTCTTTCTTTCTTTTTCTTTTTGGTTTTTTTTTGAGTCAGAATCTCATTCTGTTGCCCTGATGGCTGACGGGAGTACAGTGACATAATCATGGCTCACTGTAGCCTTGCCCTCCTAGGCTCAGGCAATCCTTCTTCCTCGGCCTCCCAAGTAGCTGGGACTATAGGCCATACCCAACTAAATTTTTGATCTTTTGTAGAGACAAGGTCTCACTATGTTACCCAGACTGGTCTCGAACTCTTGGGCTCAAACAACCCTCTCGCCTCAGCCTCCCAAAGTGCTGGGATTACAGGCATGAGCCACCACACCTGGCCTCTTTCCTTTCTTTTACTATTTATCCCATTGGAAAACTTCTATTTATATTTATGCTGATGTTTATCAATATGTGCATTGTCAGTCAGAAGTTGTACATATAAATTTTGGTAAAGAATGAGGAAATTATTTAAAAATCTGAATATAATATTGATATCCTTATCAATATTATCCAGCCAGAGAAAACAGTAAATTAATGAGTACATTTTTCTCCTAAAGGTTTAAAAGCTCTGGAACTTGTTCTAGGGAGTAACAGAAGCATTTCTCAAAAGGAGACTAAATTGGACACTATTGTTCATTTTTTCGTTGCACAGAAAGCACTCCAGTCCAGGGGTCACTGGCTGATTTAGAACAATCCAGAAGGCCTGGAATATGTATCCATCAAATTAGATGACTAAACTAAATACAAAGACTCTTCCTCAGGGCACCCACAAGTGCTTCCTCTGCTTTGCAGACAATACTAACTAAGTCCTAAAGGTACCATCTAGGACACAGGGGAACTGTCTGAGTAGCCAAACCAGGTGGTGGGGAGGTGGTGGGGGGGTGATAAAGTCTGCTGGCCAGCATGGTGGGTAGGTCAACCTGTTTGTATACAGAGGTTTGGATTCTTGCTTATATGAGGCCGCTGGGTAGACCTCTTCTTCCTTCTAGAACTAGCATAAACTGTCGGGAGTTCATGGATGCCTCCACTTTGCTCATGGATACTGTCCAACTCTGAAACACAGCTTCCTTTCTTGCAGGGCGTGAAGTTGACAAGGCCAACAGTATAACAAAGGAACCACACCTTCTGCCATGATGTATATATGTACAGGATTGTACAGACACACAATTCTGAAGACTTGTACATGTGAATGTTGCTTCAATGCATATTTTATTTTTTTACACAAAAATATGATATACCTGTTTAAGTGCCTTAAAATATTTTTGACAAGAGCGTTTGTTCCAAAACATACTTTGTCGGTTACTGCCAGGGGTGGTACAATTTTGAGGATATTTTTTTCCTAGTGCTAGAGACAGTCATAGTAAGTGGCAAAAAAAGCAAACATGCTTCCTCTGCACCAGCTTTTGTGCAATACAACTCGGTGATCGTTACTGTAATGTTTGAAATGAGGTCACACCATCAGGAAAATACCCTTCTGATGACAGTGAAAATTTCCAAAGTCTGATTCACGCATACTTTGATTTACTGTGTGATTCTTTTTTTTCTTACAACTGTGACATGCCTCTTCCTTATCAACTCAGCAGGGGTCACGGATCGAATAGATGCTGAAAAACAAGATACCTGCATTCCATGCCATCATTTTTTAAGACATTCCTTCAAATTGTTTCCACACAGAAATTCCTCAGTCCCATCATAAGAAACTGAGGTGTTTTATGTCCTAAATTTATTATAAGCTGCTTCAAAGAAAGGTCCTGGTGTTTGAGTTATGAGTGAATTACGTGAAGTTTTGAGTTAAATGATACAATTTGGTTTTCAGGGTCTTTAAATTATATCTTAATATGTTGTTTCTCTTTGTTTCTTAATTTTTTTCTTACCTGTTTTGCAACACACTTGCACACTTTTAACAGCCAAATATAAAACAAAAGTGTTGCAATCAGTTTGAAAGCAGCAGCAATTAATGATGGATTAAATTCACATTCCACAACTGAATTTTTCCAAACCAACATTTTTCTTTCCTGTTACACGGAGGTGCTGGGCATTTTCCAAATTGCCCCTTTTAGCCAGAAGCAGCCTGTTACATCCTTGCATTAAGCACACTTAAGGCATTTGAGGCAATTTATTAATGAGAACTTCCTTAGCAGATTTGACAAATGTTTGCAACATTTTTGAAAAAGTTAAATCATATTGCTTTTAAGAATAAATGAAAATATAAAGGTCAGATGCAAACAAATGTTACATAGACACATTCTGTCTAACCAGATGGAAAGAAAATGCAAAACCATTCATTAACCAAAATATCAAGTAAAATTAGTTCCCAATCAGGCATCAGCTTTCAAAGAAGTGTCCAATATTTGCTTCTGCTATGACTGCAAGAACTTTAGCTGGACCCAAATAGAGAAGAAAGCAACATACAGAACTCAAGGAGCGTGTTTCTGTGTTTCCTGCACACCATCCTGTCACATCCTCTCTCCGTGTCCTCTCTTGATTTGACAGACGATATTGGCGTACGAGGTCTCAAGGAGGCCGCGCCGTGTCCTCAGCAGCTGTTTTTGTTGTGTTGTTGTTATTGCCCACAACAACAAAAGAAATCATTTCTTACAAACCCACCAAGGTTATCTATTATCTATCTTTCTATTATTGTTACTACCAGCTCTTATCTTTTGACAATGTCATTAAATCTTATAAATTTCACAAGATTTATTCTCAGCGTAAATGTTAAGGTCATTGTCAGACCATACCAAAATCTATGTTGAACAGGCTGTAGTACACACTGTCATCAAGAATTTCGCTGTGTCTAAAACTACAGTAATTTTGCTTGATATTTTTGATGCTTATCTATGGAGCACAGAAAGGCTTTCATGTCTTGTTCCTACAAACTCTTTGAATTTCAGAGTAAATGGAAATGTCTGTCTGTCTATCTGAGCTTTCATAAAAATCCTTCTCCTTAGCATTAGAGTACTGATTCTTTCCCCCCCAACTTATCTACCTCTATTGTCTAACACCTATACTAGGTGTGTTTATGGGATAAAATTCAACTGAAAATGCTATGATAACATTTTATCTTTTGCTTTAAAAATGTGGGGTTTTTTTTCAAATAATCTTCTTTACATAGTGAACTTTATTGGCTTTAGTGATATGCTTATGCCCATTTCTTTTTTTACACAAATGCTGTGGCATATTTTTTCATAAGGTACAAAAAAATCAAAATTTATTTTTGATTCATGTTTACTGGGATTTAATTCATGCTTATTCAGAACTTAGAATATTTTGTTATAACACTTTCAAGCTCTCTGTTTTATACATTCATTTTTGTCTCAATGTATTTATGAAAGAAATACATTAGATTATGTTTACTAATTTTTCCACCTGGGTTTTTTTATGGCTGTTACAAAATTTAATTTTTTTTTTTGAAAGGGTGATAATGTTGATCTTTACATGTGTTTTTTCTAAGTGTTAAAAATTTGGGGTGGATTTTTTTTTTTTTCAGTTCTTCCCTATTCTGTCTAAAACTAGCACACCTCTGGCTGATATTCCATGTTTCTTTATGCTAAATACCAAAATTTTTTTCAAAAGGATTGGTTAAGTAATGAAGTGGATTATTTATGATAAATGGAAGATGAAAATAATTATATGATTAAACAAAGAGATGTTTCAGAAATCACAAGAGGAGCTGTGGCGTGTTTTTCACATGATTTCAGATGCACTCATCATGCCTTCGGGTGACTTTAGATGTCTTTTCATTCATTTCAGCACCATTACATCATTCATGATTGCATAGATGTACACTTCTTAATCTCCCCAGGCATTCGTATCAGTACCTCCACCATACTATGATGCTAAAATCCAGAAGGAGCCCTTGCTTTTTTTTTATTAGAGATATATCTCCATCCACATCAGTGTTGAGGACCAAAAGAGCAGTGTATGTGAGACCAGTGTGGTAACTCATGCTTGTAATTCCAGCACTTTGGGAGGCTGAGGGCTCCTGCTGGAGCCCAGGAGTTCCGGAGTAATCTGGGCAGCATAGTGAGACCTGGTCTCTACAAAAAAATGAAAATGAGCTGGGCTTGGTGGCTCAGCCTGTAATCCCGCACCTTTGGGAGGCTGAGGTGAGTGGATTGCCTGAGCCCGCGGGTTCGAGACCCGCCTGGGCAGCGAGACCTCATCTCTACAATAAATCAAAAAATCAGCCAGGCGTGGTAGTGCATGCCTGTAATTCCGGCTACTTGGAAGGCTGAGGCGGAAGGATCACCAGAGCCCAGCAGGTCGAGGCTGCGGTGGCCGGGAGCGGCAACTGCACTCCAGTCTGGGCGACAGAGTGAGACTCCAACTCAAAAAAAAAAATGAAAATGAAAAATAGCTGGGCATGGTGACGCATGCCTGTAGTCCCAGCTAGGGCAAAAGGGTGACCTGAGCTCAGGAAGTCAAGGCTATTGTGAGCCATGATTGTGCCACTGCCCTCCAGCCTGAAACTCTGACTCAAAAAAAAAAAAGATGCAAAATTTAGGTGATGTAGATTTTAACTAAGCTGGTCATATCTTTCAGGAATAGGAAAGATGAAACCTTAGCATGCGTTTCCCAAACCCAGTGTCTCTTTGATGAGCAAGTTACCTTGTATAGAGTTTCATACTCTTGTGTTCATGTCTTTGCTATCTTCTTGGCCTAGAAACCCTCTTCCCCCTGGAAGCCTTATGGAAATGTCACCTCTTACATGAGGCCTTCCTGGCTTCCTAGCCAGTGCCAGACTTGCTGCTGTCTTTGACATGTCGTTAGACCTTGTCCCCCAAATCTTCTGAAACCTTTGCAACGTCTAATCATTAGATTATACTTCTGTCTCCTCCAGTGTGGGTACTCATTTTTGTTTTTCTACTATGCTTTGCACAGTGTCTGCCTCAGAGTAGAAGCCACAAAAAAAATGTATATTGACTTTCCAAATTGTGTTCTTAATAGGTAGGATGTGAACTTTTAAAATTATGAGAGCACTTCCCTACATTAGATTGTTATTAATTTACAAGGAAAACTGACTATTTGACTACTATTCCTACCCTGAGTAAAACTATGAAGCACTTCCTTGAACTATCATTGGAATGCATTACTTTATAGCTGTGTCAATATTAACTCTCCAAGACAAGACTGCAGATGTGATATGCAAACAACTTCCATCGGGTATGCTTTGACAGAATAATAGATATTTTAGGCTAAATCAGGTTAGGTCCATCTGAATTACTGAATACTATCTATACACAAAGATAAAATATTTTCTTATGAAAAGTAATACGTACTAAAAAACTAGATTAAAAATTAGCATCATTGTTGTCATTGGTTTGTAAGTAGACAATATACAAAAGATCTTATAAAATTTTATTATTTTTAACAAAACTTATACTATACTATAAGACAGTTTTTCTCTAACACAAAGGGTACTTGGGTCATTACCAGCAGGTGTGAGGGCCAGTTAGAAGCCCAAACTTCACCTGCAAGCAGCCTAACTTATATAGTTAATCCTCACCTGTACCCCACATTCCTAGGATAAAATAAATTTTTTTTAAAGACAGTTTTTCTCAAATGTGAGATGCAAACTCCATTTAAAAGGGAAAAATATTCTCACTGATCCTGGAGAACTTACGTTCAGACTCAATGATGAGAATCTCTGCATTAAACATTAAATGCTGTCAGTCACTCTACCGATCAGCTGGTCCCCGTGTGGTTGTGAACACGAGTACAGATAAAGATGCTAAAATTTCAGGGTCATCCTGAGTCCTGGGCTGGTCATCAGATGGTCCCAGCAGCTCTCCCCAATCCTAATCCCCAGCAGAACTCTCAGCAGCTCACATGCTATGGCTGGTCTCTGCTGTGCACTCCACCAACCCAGACATGGAATTCAGCACTGGTTACTTGATTTCTGCAGAAGTCTGGACACACTGAATGTCTGGGATGTGCAGATCTCAAGCTGAATAGTAGCCATCCTGTCCCTACCCACCTCCCAATCTCCCTGCCACCTGGACTCTCAGTGACACCTTCTCCAGAACTCCATCCACCTGCCCCACTACCAACTCTTTTTCCTCTCCCCCTTCTCTCCCCAACCCCCCAATTCACAGACATCCACTGTCTCCCGTTCATTTTCCAACTTCCCAAACATGCCCAGGGTCCTACTTACAACAGCCATGGGATGTTTGAAAAGCCAAAAGTCTTACCCATCTTCCCTAACGTAGCAGAAGCTTCATGATTTCTGTTGTCCTTTCTAACTTGCATTCCAGAACTTGGCAATATGAGGATTTGTGTATGTCCTGAACAAGCCGCACCCCAAATGTCAGGAAGGAGAGAAGAGAGTGTGTGACTCTTCTAGACGCACAAGAAAAACAGGCAGAGGATATAAATGGGTAATTCTTAGAAAGGTGCAATTAAAAAATGGATGACAGACATATTTTTAAATATTCAAACTTAACCATGGATCAGGGAAATATACTTTGAAATGAGTATATTTTTAAAACCATGCAAAAGATTGACAAAACATTTAAAGTTTGATAATATTCAAATACTGACAGAGGTAGGGGGAGAGGGCACACATGCCCTGTAGTGGGAATATAAATGAGATGGAATTTGTGGAGGCTATTTAGCAGTACTGTCAAAAGTTTAAATAGCGGCCACAGTGGCTCATGTCTATAATCCCAGCACTTTGGGAGGCTGAGGCGAGAGAACTGCCTGAGCCCATGGATTCGAGACCAGACTGGACAGCTAGGTGAGACCTCATCTCTACAATAAATCAAAAAAAAATTAGCTAACTGTGGTGGCACTCGCCTGTGGTTTCAGCTTCTTAGAAGGCTGAGGTGGAAGGATCTCCTGAACCCAGCAGGTCAGGTCTGTGGTGGTCGTGAACTTGCCACTGCACTCCAGCCTGGGCAATAGAGTGAGACTCCCCCGACTCAAAAAAAAATTTTTTTTTTAAATATCTGTGCTTTTCAACCCAACTCTCATTTCTAGAAGTCTACCCTGCAGAAAGAGACTGGTACACTAGAATCTATTGACAAGAATGTTTTCAGAGCATTGATAAGGCCAAAAAGACCACCCAAGTTCCCTAAGTCAGGGAAATGTTTAAATAAACAATGGTATGTTTTTACTGTAAAACATTTTGATCCATTAAAATGAATCAGAGTATATTACCTTGGAATAAAGGTATATTATTGAGTGGAGAGGGGTTAATTTCAGGAAAGGTATGCATTGTTAAACTTAGTTTTACAGATTCCATATTTTCAAAATATATGTTACATACATATAGGAAAACTAGAAGCCTAAAGACCATTTGGAAGGATAATTATAACTAACATGTATTGAGAGCTTCATGTCTGACATTGTTCCAGGCAAAGCATTTAACCGTCTCAACAACTCTATGAGGTAGGTCGTATTATCCATGTTTTCCAGATAAGAAAACTGAGTTGCAGACCAAGTAGCAAGCCCAAGGCCACAGAATTACTAAGTAGGAGCATCTTAACCAGTATTCGTCTATATTTAACAGTGGTTGCTATCAAAGAAGCCAGGAATGCAGAGGAGGTCTTTAATTTTATGTTTTACTTCAGTCACACTTTGAAGGGATTCTAATAAGCAACTGACACACACTGGTGCTACCTTTGCTTCTTGAGGGAACAGTGTATGCCATGTCTGGGCCCTGGCATGTCTGCCAAGCAAAACATCTTTTGGCTGAGAAATGTTATACAATAGCCCCAGATCTGAGAGGGCTCACATGTAACTTTCTTTGCCTATTCCAAAGAAGTCAACTGGAGGTCCAGCAGGGAAAGAATGGTTTATTAGAACTTACAGGAGGCCCCGATGGCAGCCGGTCGGTGAAGAAAGAATCTATATCTCGGGACAGTACAGTTTTATAATCAAGCAAGTTAATCATTCAGATTGCTACACAGTGTTTACAACTGCAGTGAGTAAGCCTGCCGCCCACATTGTTCTCAGCTCTGTTCCGCTGACCCATTACTCTGTATCTCATGACCCATTACTGGGAATATGCATATCCTGCAAAGACCAGCCTTGGCCAAAGGCTGCTCCCTGAGGGAGGGGGTAGAAAGAAGCCAGATACAAGAGGGAAAGAGTCAATGTCTGGGTAGTTACCTTGCAGAAACAGGAAGCCTCTCAGCACTGCCCAAGTGGGTAAGGGAAGGACCAGAGAATCAGGTTGTTCTACACACTGAGATGTGAGGAATTTGGAGATGAAGGAGACAGCACGGGAGTGAGGCAGAGAAGTCCCGGAATGGGGAGAAGAGAGGAAAAAAGAGCAAAAGGGCTGGGTAGTGTGACTAGAGATAGGAGGGAGACCCCATGGTGAGAAATGTTGGTGGCAGAATGGCAAGGACCTCCCAAAGACAGTGACAGAATACATGAATATGTGCAACGCATTTAGGAGTGTGCCTGCACGTACCTAGTGACTTGTATGAGTGGTGGTGGCTATGGTTATTAGCAACAGAAGCAATATTAGTTTTAGTTGTTGTGGGGTTTTCTTGTTGTGTTTGTTTTATTTTTAGGGACAGGGTCTTGCTGTGCAGACCAGGTTACAGTGCAGTGGTGCAATCGCTGCAGCCTCAAACTCCTGGGCTCAAGTGAGCCTCTCACCTCAGCCTCCCAATTAGCTAGGACTACAGGCACATCTCATCATGCCTGGC